GCCCTGTCCCTGCTCTGCCCTGTCCCTGCTCTCCCCCAGGTCCCTCCTCTCCCCCTGTCCCTCCTCTCCCCCATGTCCCTGCTCTACCCCTGTCCCTCCTCTCCCCCTGTCCCTCCTCTCCCCTGTGTCCCCTGCAGCCAGAGCCGCTCCCAGGGAACGCTCTGGTGGGAGAGCTCACCTGAGCGCTTGGGGGCTTAAATACGGGGGCACCCCAGGCCAGGGGATGACTCGGCTGAGTCCCCTCCCAGCAAACCCCTGAGTTCAGCTCAGGGTGCCAGAGCCGGGCCGGAGAACAAACCCCTGGAGCTGCAGGAGGATGTGAACAACGCCCGCAGGGGAACACGGCTGGTGACCAACGCGGGGGTTTGGACGCACAGGGGAGGCTCCGCAGCTGCTGAGAGCCCACATCCCCTCTCAGACCAGAGATTCGCCCACTCTCCGGCTGGGTCTCACCTGAGAATGGGAGAGCATGGGCTGAGTGACACAAATGGTGAAAACTGTCTTTACCATTCACCCCAGGACCCAGGTAAGCGACAAAGCAAGGTGAGCCTCCACACACACACACACCCCCCCTGCTTTTGTGCTTAAGGTTTTTGAAAACTACACACCAGCAGCAACTCTACACAACAGTACGGTACCAGAGACGTGAGCCCCGACAGTCCTGGAGCAGTTCTAGGACAGGCGAGGGGGTGGAAACAGGAAAATGTCACTTTTACAGGATGATGGTCAGGGCTTCATACAATCCTAATTCAGCCACGTGTCAGCCATTACTGTGACCGCTGCTGTGGCATTTCCATCCTCTCCTCCCACTACACAGGGCTGGCTCAGTTTCCCGACAGAGGGTGGAGATCAAGCTCCTTCCCGGGCAGAGGAAAAGTCCCAAAGCAGCTCAGATAATCTTACTTTTCTTTTTGAATATGGACACTCCACCAGGACCTGCACACAATAGTATTAACTACCATTAACACCAGGAACCTCACTGGATGTCATTTTTGAACTACTGGCAAGAGGGAACATGGCTCTAGAACTGGAGCTGAAGAACAGAAACACAGAGCAGATGTTTTAGTTGTGCTTAGGACTGGGTTCGCGGTAAAACAGCTGCGCTGTGCGGGTACAACATGCTCACCCTCCCCCCTGCTGCTCAGGGCTCCCACGCCTGGTTCTAGGAGGGGAAGGCGGCTGCAGTGTTCCCTTTCCAGCCCACTGAGAAACCACAGGGAGCAGCCAGCAGAGGTGAAGAGTTAAATTGCTGCCACCTCTTGCTAAAGGAGCTCAAAGCCTTTGGGGTTTGGGGGAAGGCAGAGGTGGGCTGCAGCCCGCAGAACCACAAACGGCAGGTTCTGCTTCCACCAAAGCACTCGGGCTGCACGGCAGCAGCACAGAAAACAAAGAACAGCCCTGAAATAGATATTGCTGGAGGGAATTTTCAACGGCTTGCACATTCTCCCAGTAATATTCACTTTAGGAATGTAAAACTGCGTGTACATGAAGTATTTTCCTTACAGCAACCTCAATCCGATGGGGAAGAGGCTAAATCCCAGCTGCGTTCACTGCAGATGGTCAATGGCACATCCCAGAGAAGACTCCAAAGACTTTTACTCCAGTCTGTGTCCAAAGGATGACAAGACTCCATTTGGTCCTTGTCTTAAATCTCCGTGTATTCTATCAGACATGTATGAACATTACAGCAATGGAATCTATCAGGAATAAATAGATTTGTCGTCTTCTGAAAGTTCTCCTGCGCAGCTTTTCCGTGTAAAGTGCTGAAGGTCCTCTGGGCATGGTTTGGGTAAGAGACTACCTCTGGTGTAAAGACACACCGCACCTCGGTCCTCCAGCATTTTAAATTACTGCTCGGGTAGAACGGGAACGAGGAGAGCGAGGACGATCACTGGTATTGTCTGTAGTCGCTGAACGGAGATGGCTGCAACTGGGAGGGGTCTTCTGAAAGCTGAGGGCCTGCAAATAAGGTCAGAGGAAAAAGAAAAGCAAATTTAAACACCAAAAGACAAGAGATTCTTTCTACTAACAGCACAAAACACACTGATAGAATCACAGAATCCCAGAATGGTTTGGGTTGGAAGGGGTTCCACCCCCCTGCCATGGGCAGGGACACCTCCCACCAGCCCAGGTTGCCCAAAGCCTCATCCAGCCTGGCCTTGAACCCCTCCAGGGATGGGGCATCCACAGCTTCTCTGGGCAACCTGGGCCACTGCCTCACCCCCCGCACAGGAAAACATTTCTTCCTCACATCTCATCTCAGTCTCCCCTCTTTCAGCTTCAAACCGTTCCCCCTCGTCCTGTCCCTGCACCCCCTGACAGAGTGTTTCCCATCCCCCCTGCGCGTTCACGGCATTTTTAATACAAATCCCCTCTAAAATTAACAAAGCCAATACCAAGACTTTACACTTGGGTTTTTTTTTCAATCAAAGATGTTCAGGAGCTTTATGCATCCAGTCCAACAAAGACTGTATTTTTATCTCCCTAATAATGGAGAAATGAATTAAAGCAGTGAGGGGGAAATGTTTTCAGTCACCTAAAGGAGCTGGAAACCTACGGCAGGGAAAAGC